CTCACTCACTCACTCACTCACTCACTCACTCTCTCTGTCCTCTACTATTTTCTCTTAACCTTCTCTCTTTTTTATAAACCAGTCTATTAACTTCCTTACCTTCCACGTGTTCGCAGCGAAACTGCTTATGAAAGGCGAACCAGATCGGGCGGTCACTTCGATAACTTACTTGCATATACAAGCACACAAACGTGCACATGCATATACAAACACAAAATGGTGTGTATATACGGATATAGATACATAAAAATATGATCGGATATACATATGCACGTGCACATACACAAACGTGTATTCGTACATATTATATATACATACATATGTATGTATAATATATTATATATATATATATATATATATATATATATATATATAGAAGGAAAAGGAGGGCCAGGGCTGTGATGAACATCTTTGATATAAAGTAACGTTTCGAAGAGTTATCTCTCCATCATCTTACTAAAACAAAGAACAAGAACAGGATTAGATAAATCAAGAAAAGACAACGACAAAAACAGTTCATAACATAAGCAACAAAATAAACGGATAATAACAAGTGAGCAGAAAAGAAGCAGTCAGAAACTGTGAAAAAATGCAAAACACGGGCGAGGGAGACATACCAAAAACAGGTGGGGAAGAGCTAGTCACGATGGCTGAACTACACCGCAAACAACTGTGCTATTGTTTAGGTCCGATTTCATCTTGTGAAATCATTGACGAAATCAAATTCTTAGTTAAATATTTCAAGATCAATGGTTTCCCTGACAGCGTTTTTTTAGAGCGCTCTTAAATCGCTCTTGGATGATAAACTCAGCCCATCCACAAATACTTTACCGCTCTCAAAGAAATTAAGCACACAAAATTACCGTATCTCGGTGATACATGTTTCACCATTCGTAAACAATCACGTGAAATACTTGAACATTCATTCCCGCAGATCAACGTTTAGAAAAAGGATGCCTCTGCCTTCAAAGCTATGTTCAATTATAATATATATTTTTTCAATTGTACTAGGTATGTCCCGAAGAACGTTGAAACTGTAACTGAACAATGGAACTGTAAAAATGGTAAATTCCAAACAGGACGAAGAATCAATAAAAGGTCGCGAAGGAGCGAAAGCTGAGTCAAGAGCTATTACTTGAATACAACGCTGTGCATATTGGATCGTTTACACGATGGCTCAAACATAGAACACTCGAACATATGGGTAAATCTATAAGAAGTAGCCTACCTTTGAGCAGACCTTTCTCTGCTGGTCGACAGAATTCACGATTAGAAGACCACCCGTTCACTCCACGATTTCAAAATTCTGTCCATATCTAACAGACTCGACCTTCTCATCTCAGAATGCCTGTACATCCACAAGATGAAATCGGACCTAAACAATAGCACAGTTTTTTGCGGTTTAGTTCAGCCATCGTAACTAGCTCTTCCCCACCTGTTTTTGGTATGTCTCCCTCGCCCGCGTTTTGCATTTTTTCACAGTTTCTGACTGTTTCTTTTCTGCTCACTTGTTATTACCCTTTTATTTTGTTGCTTATGTTATGAACTGTTTTTGTCGTTGTCTTTTCTTAATTTATCTAATCCTGTTCTTGTCTTTTGTTTTAGTCTTATAATGGAGAGATAACTCTTAGAAACGTTACTTTATATCAAAGATGTTCATCACAGCCCTGGCCCTCCTTTTCCTTCTGAGATTACGAGTGGAAAATCAACTGCAGAAATCATATGTATATATATACATATATATATATATATATATATATATATATATATATATATAATATATATATATATATATATATATATACACACACACACACACACACACACACACACACACACACACACACACACACACACACACACACACACACACACACACACACACACACACACACACACACACACGCACACGCACGCACATGCATACACATATATATTCACACACACACACACACATAAACACACACACGATCACACTGTTTTACACACGCAATCACAAATGTTTCTCTTCAGAATTATTTTACAGTCTACGATGCTTCATCCTTATCTCTGTCTTTCTTACATTTTGTTTTCCCTTTTCTTTTCATCCTATTTTTTCTATTCTTGCCTCTCCATTCTTCCCATATCTTCGTCTCCCCTCTTCCTCCTCTTTACTTCCTCTCCCTCCCTCCCTTTGCCCTTCGCCCTCCCCCCTGCTTCCCCTTCGGTTAGATACAAATATTCGGTCATTTATCTCCACCCCCTTCATATGACGTCGTTCAGCTTCTCATGATCCTTCCTTTGCATCTGAAAAAATAAGATACATAATGATAACGTCAACAAGTTAATAAGATAAAAGAGAGAGGCCTTCCGCGTGATTTGTGTGCGCTCCCTCGGGTCGAGGGCGGGTGCCAAGAGGAGATGCAGGGCAGATAAGCAGATGAATCAAGGTACACTTGTACCCGCGTACCGTGGTCACATCAGGGCACGAGGGCTGGTCTCGCGCACTCAAGGCCCGTGGAACCCAGGCCTATAGACCTTGCATGGAACGGAGGCTCTCGGTCCGGTCTGCGATCACGGTGGGAGCGCTCGTGTTCGTTTGGGGGGGGGGGCGCATTTGCATCAAGGTCTTCTATCAGCGACGATAATCAAGTGAAAGAATTTAATTAGACGGA